CTGAAATGCAGCAGCAACAACAGCAGCAGTAGCAATGTCTGTTTACTGCTTTGTGTTAAGGAAAATAAAGCAAATCCAAGGAAAAGATGTCTTAAAATAAAAATGAAGGTTGCAATTGTGTCATAGCAACAGCTTCCAGAAATTCTGGCTCTTGGCCAGAGGATGCATAGCTGGAATCTCTCTGCTGCTGTCAGAATCTGGAGCACTTCCCAGCTGCTCGCGGTGCCCATCTGCAGAGTTCCTCACCCTCACAGGAATGAGGAGATAGCATCTGCTAGAAGAAATCCCAGAAAACTGCTGAGAGGCAGCACCTGAGGGCTCTGTGAAGGGACTGAACTTGAGCACTTTGAGGAGAGTTCATCTTCATGGGGAAGTCACTGTGGAACAAATAGAACCATGTTTCTAGCCACTACTAGCACCAGAGCAAGGACATGGAGAAATTATTCAATTACAGGCAGCACCCTTTTTTTTTGCTTCTTCAGGACAGGAGGAGCCTAGTGTTGAGGTCTGAGATGGTCCTGTTCTGAAGACACATTCCTCCTGTTCTCAGATGCCCTCCGCTCTGGCGCAGGAGAAGGCTGAGGTCTCCTAGGCCCATGCCATGGAAGGGATGATGGGGTGCCCTGTGAGATGTGTCTCTAGTGCCCTGCCACCAGGCCTGATGGGAGCCATGGGCTTCCAGCAAGCAAAAAGCCCTCCAGTTGTGTTTGGGAGGCAAGCTAATAGGTGTTGTCAAACAGGCAGTGAACATCCCCATGTTCCTTGTCCTCACCATGGGACCATGTTCTGCCTCTGCAGTGTGGTGGTGTGCCCTGGCTCTCTCCATCAGCTGGGTCAGGTGAAGTCTCCCCATCCTTGTACCCAGCAGTGAGGGATGGAGCAGCTGGGGCTGGGATGAGTCACTAGCTTTGATGGCACTGTATGGGGCGGGAGGGTTCAGGAATGGGGATGTCCTCTTTGCAACCCTGTTATGGGGCATCATGCCTTCAGCATCGTGGGAGTGGGACACCTTCTGGCTCCATGTGACAAGTAGGCAGCTGTGTGATGGGTGGGGTGTGGGTGTTACTGCCCAAACAATCCCTGCTCCCTCTAGCTTTCCCAGCTCCTTGACTTCTGTTCTTCTGTGCCACATTTCGTGTAACTCCCAAGAGAACTGAACTAGTCTGTGTGCCTCTTATACCCAGCTGTACTGTTTATTAAAAAACAACAGTGAGTCTTAGACATTTTTGATGCCTTGTGTTTATTTTAATATAAAAGGCCCAAGGAGACCAGAAAAAAAGGATGACAGAGAGGGGTTTACTGGTTTCTTGTTGATTCTAGCTTGAAGATATTGGTCACTTGGAGCACTTGTGTAGTGCAGCTTGACTGATATGAGAGGGCATCCACCAGCAAAATGTGTTGGGAGCTTTTGTGCCTGGTGATTGAATGGGTGAGCAGTGGAGGGGCTAACAGAGACACCCAGCTATTGATTGCTCAGACCCTTCAAGTATAGTAATCTCTAATGGAATCAGAATTTTGAGCAATCAGCCTAAAAATCCCTTTTCTGTTGTTCAGCTGATGCTTTTGTTTTTTGAGACAGCATTGGCTCACCTGGTCACCTGCTGCTGGTCATCTGCAGCAGCAGAGCATGGCCTCATAATGAAGTCTTGTCTGGCTCCACAGTGCATCATCCAGCCAGCTGGATTATGGAGTCATTCCAGCAGCCCTGCCCAGGGAGCAGCTGGTGAGGATGCAGGAAGTTCTGTCTTCTAGCATGTTCTAGCTTTGATATGATGGGTTCCAGCCCTGTGAGAGTTGGGCACTTGATGCTGAAGAATGGTGCCTGGAGTGGGGAAGCCAGCTAAAGGTTTGTAATAGCATGTCCCAAAGGCTGGAAAACCCAGCCGCATAACAGGTGAGAAGGGAAAACATCCTGGGAGAGTCATGTTGCTGGTTTAGGATGGGTTTGTTCCATAAGGCAATGTATGATGGGCTGTGAAGGGCAAGGAGAGCAACAGAGATCTGGATGCAAAGAAATACTCCCTTTGGGTAATTGATAAAATAAGTTTTCCAGCTCGTCCTGACCTCAGGACTGGTGGTGGGAGCCCAAACCTGGCACAGCAGGGAAGGGCCAGCATGGCAGCCTCCAGCGGCACTCCCATCTTTGACTGCCTGTGCCAGCAGGGAGGTTTGCCACAGCTCCCACGCACTGCCCCTTTGCTGTGGCTGCTGCCCGGAGGGGATGCTCCTGTCACTGCCTGCCACCAGCTGGCACAGTGGGAGACTCCATGGGATTGCTGGGCCCTGGCTGTGAGGGATGCTGCCTGTGCAGGCTGCAACCAGGGAGCAAGCTCCTGAGTGGCTTTCCAGGCAGAGGTGCAGTGGGATGGGGCTGACACCCCCTCACCAGGCCATGATGAGCTGCCCACTGTGAGGGCTAGGAAAGCTGCCACCGGGGGCAATTCCAACCCTTGCTCACAGCCAGAGCTCCTGCCCATCTCCCTGGCACAACAATGCCCTGTGTTAACTCTCTTTACCACTCATTACAAACCACAGGGGGCCTCTGTAGGAGCATAGCGCTGGGTTTTAAATTTTCCAGGTTTCCACCCAAAGGGAAGCCCTCCCCATGCCTTCTGCCCTGTGCCATAAACCAGAGTGGCAGGGCTCACCCCTGGGAAGCTGTGGAGGAGCAAGCAGGAGGAACCTGCTGAAACCAGAGGCAAATCGTTCAAGTAGTAATTCAGGTAAAAATAGTGTGTATTTTGGGAGGGAGGAGGCCAGAAAAGACCACTGTTCTCTCAAAATCTAGGACTTCCAAAGTGGTGTTTACCCCCTTCCCTGGGACTTGCTGGTGAGTAGTTCAGCTTTGGAAACATCTGCTCCATCTTCAGATGGGATGGGTTCCTCCTGCCCCAACCCTTGCTGCAGTCCCAGAGCTCCAGGCTACCATCCTGCTACCTTCAAGCAACATCTGCACGTTTGGTGGTGCTCTGAGCCAGCTCTCTGGCAGCTGACTGCTGACAGAAGGTGGGCAAAAAAGGTGTACAACTGTCTCAGGACTGCAACTCATCCCCAATGGAAGGATGGTGCCAAGGGCTGTGCCTGAGACACAGTGAGGTGCTCTTCCACTCCTGAAACTTTGCTGCTTCTGCCCACTTGTTGGGGTTTGTTTTTATGGGGATCATAGTGGGCAGTCTAGAGGTGGGGGTATGTCCAAGCAGTCTCCTTACCACTGAAGCTTCTGCAGGACATACCCAGACAGGGTCAAAAGCAGGCCACAGGTGGGAAACTGCTCCAGTGGCAAGGGTTGCCCCTAAACCGGTGCCAGGAAAGACGCATGGGTGTGATGACAACAGGCAGCAGCTGGGTGAAGTCATTTTATTCAAGGCACGGTCATAGCAATAAATCACGAGAAGGTACAGACCTCTGGCACATTCCTACAGTGGGGCAGCCAAGGGCAATCAGACCAGCAGCCCGAGCTCCTGAGGACACAGTGCCACTAGCAGGCACTTGCTTCTACCCTCAGAGAGGCCACCAGCATCCCCGTGCCCTGCCTGGGGCTGTCTCTGGAGCAGGCAGTGAGGGGAGCAGCTGAGCTGTGGGCAGCCATGGGGGTACCTGGGCAGGAGGCCACAAACCCCCCAGGGAACTTTTTGGGATTGGAAGGGTGCATCTGAGCTCAAGGCTCCCCCGAGGCAACCACTTTGTGACTAGTGTGCTGCAGCCACCACCCCAGCATGCAGGAGCGTGGGTGGGATGGGGGCCATGGGACTGCCAGCCGGCTGAGCTGAGACCCACTAGCCCCACAGGAATGTCCTAAGGGCCCCATTGATGCTCTCACTGCTGGGCTGCCTTTTAACCTCCCGTCCAGCCCAGAACTGGCACACTGTCCCTCCTCCAGTGGCACTTCTAATGCTAACCAGTGCCATGGCTGAGCACCTGCCTTTGCACAACAGCACTTCCCATGCCAGCAGCCCTGGTGCTGGCAGAGCTTCACGTTCCTCTGTTCCTTCCCTGCACTGCCCTGGGACGGTGCAACTCTAGTTGCTCTGAAGCTAGCAGGAGAATCAGGGACAGGAAAATCAGCCCTGAGGCCAAAGCAGGGCTGAGTGAGGAGCCAGCATGGCCAGGTGGGCTATGGTGGGAGAGGAGCTGAGCAGGATGAGGATAAACCCTCATCTCCAGGGGCCACCACAGCTGCTCTGGATGAGCTGGAAAACTCTAGAGATGCTGTCTGGGCAGGTAATGGCACATTAACACTAATCACAGCAGGACTCACACTTGAGAGGCAGTGTGGCTACTGGGGGAGCATCCCACAGCTGCAGCTTGTGGACAAGAGCAGAGAGGATGTGGTGGACCAGGAGGACCTGGAAGTCCAGGTCCTGCCAGCCTACACCTGCCCCCCCTGTTCCGTTGCATTAGGACAGAGCTATTCTGGGTCCCATGGGCAGATAATCACCCTGGTGAGAGCATGAGCATGATGGGGTGCTGCCAGGGAAGAGGAGTGACAAGGAGCTGTCCTCAAAGCCATTAAACACACTTGTCTCTTGCCCTCCTACTTCTCTCCAAGAGCCCAAGGGCACAGGCATTGTGCAGCAAGATGGGAGGATGGGGTTGAGGAAGAGCTGGGCTTGCATTTGATGCCTGCCTTGGTGCAGGGCTGTAGGGGCTCTGCTGGCAGATGTAGGGACACTCACCTTTTCCACCAAAACACACACATGTCAGCAGTCCCTGCTAAAATGGGCAAAGCAGGGGCAGCAGGCCAGCAGCAGGGGAGCCAGCAGGACAGCTGCCTGAGCAGTGGCTGGATGGAGTGAGATGCAAGGGTTAGGGGTGGCCATCCCCTGCCACTGAGGACCCAGAGGACAGCGTGGTGGCAGGCACATTCATCTAGGCTGTCTGGGCTACTCCCTCTTCTCAGAGGGGTCAGGGCCTCCCTCCTGCCCCCAAAAGCATGGCCTCTCAGAGAGACCCTCCCCCCACACTGCTGCACCCCCTCTTCCCCACTGTGTGCTGGATGAGGCAGATGGGAACAGGGGCACATTAGGGGGCTCAGCCAGTGCAGGCAGCGGGAGGGACCATCCGAGCCTCCTGCCACTGCCCATGCAATGGCGTCTCCCTCACGTCAGTCCTGTCATCCCCTGCCCCATTGGCAAGGTAGCCCCCAGCAGTGCAGGGAAGGCTCCTTCCTGCCCCATGGCACATTCTCTGCTCTCAGCACAGTCTGTTCTCAGCCTGTGGCGGGGATGTTCACTGGTAGCGAGCCTGGCTCTCTATCACGGGGCCGCTCCTGTACTCGCCCTCCACTGTCTCCAGCTCTGTCTCGAAGCTCTGCAGCCCCCCATCCTCCCCATCCTCCGCCGGCTCCAGGTGGTTGCCCATGGTGCCATAGGACTGGTGTGCCGGAGAGGCTGCCGGTGTCAGGCTCAGCTCAGGCTCCTGCAGGACAGTGGCCACAAAGAGCTGCCCCGGGGGGCAGTGGGCCATCAGGACCCAGCAGAGCAGGAGGCCACAGCAGGGCTGCAGAGGGGTACTCACATTGGAGTTTGGAGTGGAGGAAACGCTGCTCCGCTCCACGTCATTGAATGCGCCCTCTGACTGGTCAGACATCTAAGGAGAAGTAAGCCATGAGGAAATCATGGTTTGGGGTACCAGCTTTGGCTAGGGACAGCCAGGTGCCATCTCAGACTCCCCATGGAAAGCAAGGAGGGGATGCACTGGGATGCAGGATGATGAAGGAACAGGAGGTGGCTGTCTGCGCCCACCTGGTAGCTAGACGGTTTCCGTGGCTGCAGCTTCTTCAGGCAGAGGCCAAAGAAGGAGAAAATGATGCAGGAAAGGAGGACCACAAAGGTGAAGAGGGTGACAGGCCGAGTGGGACCTAGAGCACAGAGACACTGGGGCAGCATATAAGCCTCCAAGAACCTGCTACATATCCAGCTGAGCCCCAGGCTGGTGCCTACTTTGGGTTTTAGAAATTCTCAACCCTCTTCCCAAAACACAAGCTGACACCTCCTTCATCTGCCAGGTTTTCACAACACCTTGCCCCTTACCACCCTCCACTCCATGCCTAATTCAAGGGTGACACCAGTGGCTCATCACCCCCAAACATCAGACAGGACCCCTTGGCAGTGGCAGAGCATAGCCCCAAGCTCTCCCTACCGAGGCGCAGGACGGAGAAGAAGAGCAGCCAGAACATGCAGAGGATGGGGGCCACCACGACCTGGCTGATGGCGGCGACGTGGAGGCGCTGGTTCAGTTTGGTGGGGATGTACACGTAGTAGATGTTGTACCGGTCAACCATGTGCTTGAGCAGCATGTACAGCAATCCTGGTGGGACAAGAGAAGCCATTTGGGTGGAGGGCAATGGGGACAGCCAGGACATAGGGACAGCAGGGCAGGCCCTGAGGACGATGTCCAAGGTGCCCTCCTATGCCATGCAGGAAGCCTGCACTCCCATGCTGCTGCTGTTGGCTGGGACAGCCTTGTTCTTGGCATGGCTGGGACCATGGGCATGGGATCATACTCACCAAAGGGGACGATGATGGGGCAGGTGATGCTGTAGGTCATGACAACAGAGAAGATACAGCAGGTCCAGGCGTACTCTAGTCCAAACTGGAACTGGTATGCTTGGCTCTGGGGCACAACCAACAGTGTCATTGCTGCCTCTGTCACTGTAAAGCCTGCACTTGCCTTTGCACTTGCCTTTGCACCCACAGGACTGCCTCACCCCCACTAGCTCCTACGAGGCCTAAAGAAGTCCCCCCAAGCATCCCCACAGAACCACAACAGCCTGAGTTTCCATGAGTGCATCTCTGCTGCGCTAGGGGTCACAAAGGCTCACGGATGGCCAGAGCCACGTACCCGCTTGACATGGAGCCGCTCGGGTTCAGACTTGGCAAAGCAGAGGCGAGCAGTATAGACCAGGAGGCCTGGGATGCGCAGCAGTTCCATGGCCGTCCCAATCAGGCTGGAGGTGACCACATAGTTGACAAAGAAGGCGCCATTGTCTGGGAGGAAAACACATCTGCCCCAGGGACAGAGAGGTGAGACAGTGAGAGTGAGAGGATGCTCAGGCAGGAGCTGCAAGAGCTGCTGGCTGTGGACAACAGGTGCTCCCGCTTGCCTGGGAAGTTTGGGAGCTTCCTGCTACTCACTGGAACTTGATTTCAGCCTCATCCAGGAAGTGGGTGTCAAAGAGCCAGCGGAAAAACAGGTCCAGGCTGGAGGGAACAGAAGAGGAGCAGCTCAGACAGAGGGGGAGCTACAGAGTGATGTGAGACACCCAGCAGGCATGTGCTTTTCCCTGTCCTGTGTGTGGCAAGACCTTCTGCACCCTACACTGCCAGAACAGTTCCTACAGCCACACAAGATCACTGTGGAGTGTGTGCTTGCCTCTTGGATGGCCAGGATTGCTGGAGCTGGAGCTATGAAGATATCTGACCAGGTCATTTCGGGGTATGCTGAAATCAAGCAGCAGCTGATCACTGCCACCAGCCCCCTTGGGCCAGCTGTGGCAGCCTGGTAAACTGCTCTGCTCCACTCCTCTGCAGGGAAGGTTTCCATCTGTGACCATGTGTGAGTGGCTCAGCACTGCTAAAGAATGTTTTCCTCCCCAAAGATTGCTGTGTTTCAGAGGCAATGGGATCTTAGCCCTATGGGGCTAGATTGCCAGGGTGAGAGGCCTGGGTGTGATCCTGCCAGCTCATGAGCAGGGACAGCAGCATGGCAGGGTGGTCCATACCTGCTCAGACCCAGAGAGGGCAGGATGATAACCATGAACACCAGGAAGAAGAAGCACTTGTGCATGGTGATCTGATTTTCACTTGACCTGCAGAGAGGGAAGACAAGAAAAGAACATTGCACTTTTTTGGGAAAGAGCAGCAGGTGGGGTGAAGGGCTGGGCTTGGTCTCGCTCTTCACCAAGGAGTTACTCCCTGCCCCACAAAATAGTGTGCATTTGATCTGTGCATCCACTGGAGTCTTGCAAAGCCTCTCCAAGACTAAGGTGTGTCACCATGAGGAATCTGCTGTGGTGAAAGCTCCCACCTCCTTCATCTTTGCCCTCTCCTACCATCCCTTTTGGTATAGACACCCAACAAGAGGCAGATGGGTGTCTAGTATGAGTCCACGACCTCCAGTTTCCCCCAGAAAAAGGAAGGGAGGTGGTTACAAAGCTCCTGTAAAGATTTATCAGACCAGGCACAGGGCTTGGGGCTGATGGAAGGTCAAGACAGAGAGAGCACATCGTAGGAGCTGGGCAGTTTCCTCTACTTTAAGCATCCTGAACCCATACCTCTGCCTTGGAGGATTGGAAGCATGCCTGGGATGCCCCTGCTGCTTCCAGTCCACCATCACACCATCCCTCTTACAAACTTCTTCAGATCCATCTTAAAACCACCTGACTTTGTCAGTAGCCTGGAAGTGTTCAGGACTATGGGAAGCAAATGGCTGCTTTGAGCATGGCCTTGGGGCTCTTTCTATGGAGAGAAACACCCAGGGGGCTCTGCTCTAATGTGGGGATCTACTGCTCACTGCCTGCCTCCCTGCAGGGTGGGTTCCCCTTCCACTGCAGTTCCTCCCATCTATGGCAGCCCTGGGGTCTGTGGGGGCCAGCCCCATTACCTTGTCCAGTGAGACTCGAAGAATGCTGAGTAGTAGACAAGGAAGGGCAAGAAGACTGAGAAGGCCCAGAGCAGCAGCGTGGGGAAAAACTGGGTGATGATAGGGTTCTGCAAGAAGAGAGATGCCGAACACCCCCTTAGCAACCCACCAGAGCACAGCCATGCTGGAGACAGAACATGATGGTGCATGCAGCAGCTGGGCTGGAGCATCCCCTCCCTGAGCAGGAGTATTTGTTCTAGGAGATAAGAACTTGAAGCCAGCCAAAGGCACCACAGCCGTGTTCTGAGCCCCAGTGTTCACCCAAAAGCTCATAGGTCAATGAGTAAGAAGGAGCTGTGCTGCTGGCAGCTTGTAGCAACTCCTGAGCTCTTTCCAGACCTTTATTCTTGAATGGACAGAAACCTGCCTGCCTCCATGGACACCAGCACCAAAGCTCAGGTGCTGCCCCAGGGCTCTGCCACTGGAAACACAAGGAGAAGGGGATGGATAGCAAGCAGAGACATGACCTCATCAATGACCTTGTTTCTCATCAAAGCTCATCCTAGTGATGGCTCATCTTCTTAGGACAGTGTAGAGCTGGTGCCCCCGCCCCCCATCACAGATAAGCCTGGAAACTGGCATGGGTTAGGGATTACCTTGAGACTCTCCACAGGGTGTGTGACATTGAACATGTCCATAGTGTTGACAATGATGGCTGGTGTAGTGAGGAAGAAGAGAAGGACGAACAGGCAGATATTAAGCAGAATGAATCGCACCCACCATGATGTGCCACGGACTGATAAATTTTCCCTGTAAGAGGAAAACACAACATGATAAGGACATTTGGACATTGGACATGATAAGGAGGAAAATCCCTGTATCCTGGGCCTCCCATCATAGCTTCATGAAGCTCTGCCTCCTCCTATCTGCACCAACCATCTTGGCAGACTTTGTTCTGAGCTCGCCCTTTTCCCGTCCCAAACTGCTTTGCTGTCACATGCAGAGCCCCCTGGACCAGAGAATAGCCACAGTGGAGGTCCATATGACTGGGAGGCTTTGGAATCAGGCTGGAGAAATCAGTCTGGCAATCACCCCCAGTCTCAGCTGGTTGGGCCCTGACACCCTTGTGGTGATCACCACAATCACCCCTGCTGACTTCTGCTATGGCAATACGAGGGATTTTCAGCCCCCATCACCCTAGGAAAGTGTCCTACAGATACAGACACAGGTTCCCTACAGCTATATGGGCTCCCTATAGCTATGGGCATAGGCTCCTTATAGCTATGTACATGGGCTCCTTATGGGTATGGACATGGGCTTCCCCTTGTCTGCTTGTTCCCCCTTCCTCCCTCCCTTCTGCCGTGGGGGTTCACCAGATGATATCGCTGGGTGCAGGGGCATAGCGAACTCCCCAGTGGTGTGACTTGACCACAGTGGTGACAGAGGACTGCTGGGGGTGCTTGCGGCAGTGGATGTGGCTGTAGTCCTTCAAAATCCTGCAGGAAGAGGGAGCCAGGGGTCAGGTCTCACTTCTTGTGAGACCCTTCCCACAGCCCTAACAGGACAGCCAACTCCGCAGATGGCAGAGGCATAGAAGAGACCGACCCATTGCCAGGCTTTGGTTGGAAAAGCTGGCAAGGTGCCCCAGTTCCGCCCATGGCAGTGGTGGCCAACAGGAGGGACATCCCCATGGCCATTGCATGAGGGCCACTCACACAGCTGTCATCCGCTCGTCCTGGAAGGTGACGAAGGCCACATCAAGCCGCTTGAGTGTGATGCGGTTGCGCTCCGCATTGAACTCATCTGTGAGCTTCTCCTCCAGCTCCCCGTAGTACTGCTCAGCATCCACCTGTGGGAGCAGCCAGGGCTGTGCTGCGCACCAGGCTGGGGCAGGGGCAAGCTGCTGTGCTCTGCCTTGCCCACAGCGCAGGTGTGCTGCCTGCAGCCCTGCCCAGGCCCCTCCTACCTCATCAAAGCCACAGAAGTGGCAGCAGAAGATGCGGGCGCAGGGGTGAGTTTTGATCATGATCTTCCCCTCTTTCTGCGCCTTGGTGGTGAAGTAAAGCCGCCCCTTCATTGCTTTGCGCCTGCCAGGATGCCAATAGCAAAAGTCATTTGGGGAGCACCAGACGTACAGACATAAACCCGGACTGGGTGCCTTGATGTGGTGGGCAGGAGCAGTACACCCTCCCACAGAGGCAACGTGGACGTGCATGCACTCACCTCTCCGCATCCAGCTTCATCAGCTTGCGCACGTCAAAGCAGAACTGGACGTTGGTGACGGTGCAGCTGGGATAAGCCTCACTGCAAGCAGACGGGCATGGTGGCACCAGGAGCCAGGGGACAGGGACAGTCCCTGCCACCTGTCTGCCACTCACCCAGCAAGGCTGTGGCACATGGCTACTCACTGGAAATGCTTGATGATAAGTGAAGGGTCTGTGATCTCCTTGGGGATGTGGGTAACCATCAGTGTCCGGGCGATCTGGGGAAAGAGAAGAGGCAAAGGGATCTGCAGGATGGGCAGGGATCTGCAGGATGTAACGCTGCCACCCTGTCCACCCAGCAGTGAGCTGGGGCACCAGCTGCCACCCCAGAGGCAAGTAAGCACAGACCTCCTCAATGCCCAGTCCCAAACCCTGAGGGCACAGCCTGACAATGCCATACCCCAGACAGATGGATACAGCAGAGCTTCAGTCTCAAGAGGGAAGACAGCAAGAGAGAGATACTTGCCTCCAGGCTGTCACTTTATCCAGAAGCCTGTCAAAATCAGGCATACCTTTCCCTGCCAGCCCAGTTCCAGGCTGTTCCTAGAGACCTCTGTACCCATCAGGATCAGCACTTGTGCAAAGCAAGAAGTTGTCCATTGAACAAGGCAGGGTTGGAGGAGGGGTGGTTTCTCACCTTCTCATTCTCTCTGTATTCTAGGTGGACAGAGTGGTGAGCCATGCAAAGGATGGTGAAGATAAAATAGAGGAGGGCAAAGATGCTGTGCAGCCACAGGAGACGGTCTCTGGAAGAGATGAAGTGGGGATCAATGAGCACTGTGGTGAGCGTGTGGCATGGGGATGAGCCTGGCACTCAGCATCTCACCTGTGGCCACCCCTTCCACCCAGCAGGACCTTCCTGTGCCAGCTGTCAGACACTCACCCCAGGAACTAGAGGGGCAGCACCCAGGCTGTTGACTGAGATACCACAGAAATGAGGTCACACAACATCCCCAAGAGCACTTCTGCCAGCAGTGGGTTGCAAAGAGCAATGCCACTGGGTTGGCTGCCCTGACTCTGCCCACGTAGTACAGAGAAACAGGAGAGTTACTGTGAGCAGTGTGCTGCTCACGTGGATCTGTCCCTGTCCCCAGCACGGGACTGTGCTGAGCTCTGTTCCTAGGTGCTCCCAGCAGTGCCCACCACAGCGGCAGCACACACAGCCCCCCCGCCTGTGGGAGCACCTACTGAGTTGGGATGTTTGCGATGGTTGTCCGGCCAAAGTGGGTGGGATTGTGTCCTGCAGAGGAAGAGAAAAAGCAGAAGGTTAAGGGAACCCAGTGCAGTGTGCGTGTCCATATTGCAGTTATTTGCTCTGGTCTGCTCCCTTCTTTTCCATCTCCCAGGTCCTCACCAAGTCCCCACTGCCCTGATTTCCCAGCCTCTTATGTTCCTCTGTCACCCAGCTGATGGTGGGCTCCTGCTCTCATGGAGGCTTCTGAGAGAGAGGTTTTTTTGCCTTCTTTCCCAGAGGCACAGTGCTTGCTCAAAGGCTTGGAAGTTTGCATGGCACTCCTGAGTCAACCTGTGACTAGCAAAGCACCTACCCAGGAGGTCCCCTGAGAAGTTGACAGGCAGGATGACAGCCACGGAGAGCACGCAAACCAGCATCAGCAGGACCAGGAGGTGCCGCTGGAAGGAGAGGTAGGTGGTGGCATCGATCCCACACTTGCTCTGAATCTCCTCATCCCTGGAGAGAGGCAGGTGGGGGTCAGTGCTGGTGGTTCCTCCCCACCACTTCCCACCATGGGGACACTGGCTTGCTCCAGTCTCCCACAACCCACACCAATTCATCACATCCTGACTGTGGCACAAATGATTTCAGCACAGAGGGAATGAGGGACCCGAGCAGCCCTCCAGCTGCCATCTCATTACAGGATTGGTTCCTATCAGGAGAGGCTGAAGCCCTTTTCTTTGGGATAGGATCTAGGGGCCAGGAGGAAATGCAGAGGTGAGCTCTCCGCTCTCTTCAGAGTGGATGTTTTAAGAAGGCTCTCCTCTGCTGCTGGTCCCAGCAGCTCCTGGTGATGGGCCACCACCTGTGGGCACCAGCTCCTCATGGGTGGGCAGCAGTGAGGCATGACCATAATGCCAAGAACACACACTTACTTCATCTGGTAGATAGAAAGAAGCCAGGAACAGAATCCCTAGAAGGAAAAAGAGTTAGGATGAGACAAGGGCAACCACCCCCACCTCCCTGGTGAGGGACTGGGTCACAACATATGCTGAGGAAACATGCAGAGGTGGTGCAGTGCCTATGGCTAGGGGGTTGAGCAAATGGAAGCAGTGCCCAAGGCAGCCTAGCAATGCTCAGCTCAGTGGCAAAGGCAGCTGCCTCAGGAGAAGCAAGGAAAACACACTCCAAAGAGCTGATGGGAAACTGAGCACAACCTCTCTTCCAGGTGGTGAAAGCCCTGAGGGACCATGTGACCTTCCTGAAAGTAGTGGTAAGAAAATTTCTGTGAGTGGGAACAAGAAGTCTGCTGGGGCAGGGGTATAAAGGGATAGAGAAGTCTCTCTACAAGCATCAACCATCCTGATGGATGTCAGGTGCATATTCTTGGCCACAGAAGGATTTGCAGAGGAAGCTGAGGTCAAACACTAACCAACTGTTTCAGGCTCCTGCTTCCAGAGCTCCCTCCTCTTCCCCTTCCATGACATTTCCTAACATTCAGTGCACATTCTTTACCACTATCAAGTGCTAAGGTGGCACTGCTGTAGAGTCCTACAAGACAACCTAAGTTCTTGTGCACTAACTAGCTTATTCCCTGTCACTGTGTACACACAGGGGTTTTCAGACTTTCCCCTGGTGAAGGAGGATTGGGTTAGAAAACACCCAGGCAGACTTGACATCCACAAGTCCGTGGGCCCTGACAGGATGCATCCACAACTGCTGGGAGAGCTGGTGCACACCATAGCAGGAAAGCTCATGATCATCTTTGAAAGGTCCTGGAGATCAGGAAAGGTGCCTGAGGACTAGGAGAAAGCACCATGCACTGGAACAGATTGCCCAGAGAGGTTGTGGAGTCTCCTTCACTGGAGATATTAAAGATACAATCTTGTGCCATGTACTGTAGGATGACTCTGCTTGAACAAGGAGGTTGGACCAGATGGCCCATATTGGTTCCTTTCAACTCTACTCTTTCTGTGATTTTCTGATTCTGGGTTTTTTATGCTCTTTACAAATTTCTCCTCAAAACTGCTCTTCTCCCCTCTTAGTGTATTTTACACCTAATCTGGCAGAGTTGAGGTTTTCCTCATTTGTGAACAGTTTGAGTTTTTAAAGGATGTCTTCTTCTATTAATCCCCTTTAATCTGCTCTTTAGTGTGCTGGCTTTCCCTGTAGTCTTTCTCACTTATTTTTGTTGAGCAATATACATTTCATACAATGCCTAGAGCATCTGGTATAGAGCCTTTAAACAGGCCTCCTGCCACCTGCAAGGATTTTGCTTCTTTTGCTCTTTCCTACTTACATTTTTTAATAAGTCATGACATTTTTTCATAGTCGTACCAGTGACTGATTTTTGAGCTTTTGCTGCCAAAAAGAAATAGAAAGAGGCAGCAGAATGTGTCTGTCTGTGTTTGTTCCCAGCAAAGCCCGCTGTGGTAGAGAAACAAAAAAAGTTACTTTAAAGCCCCACCATGCTGGCAGAAGAGGAAATGTGGTATGGGGGACTTTATCCTGAGGGGTGGGAAAGATCCTTGCAGACAAGCAGCCAGGCTGTGGCCATGCACCATACCAGGTCCCCACAGCTGCAAGGACAGCTATGCAGCTGTGAGACGCTTGCCAACAGGAGCATCCCCTCCAAACTGCCATTCAAAATAGATGCCTCAAAGGATCCAGGACAAAAAACCCTCCAAAAACCCTCCAGCTTCCAGGAACTCCCCACTGCTGAAGGGTATTGAGCAGGAGATTTAGTTTCTCACACTTCTGACCTGGATTTCTGATGAAGAACAGGACAGGCTGGGCCAGGACAAGCCCTGCCCAGGTTCCCACTGGCACTCACCACATCCTTGTTGTCAGCATCCAGAGGGCTGCTCTCTGATGGGGACTTTTCCTTCTCGCTCTGCTCTCCATAGAAAAGCGATGTCAGGCTTTGCAGTGAGGGGAGGAGCGGAGGAGGGAGGCAGAAGAGAAGCAGCAGACATGAGAGGATAAGCACCCTTGGAGAAGTCTCTCCTAAGACAGCAGCCCAAGAAATGCCTCCCCCCCTTCCTGCATCTTACACGGGGGCTGGAACAGTGATTACTGCTGGGCTTGGGACAAAGGGGTTGCATCTTTCTGCCTCTGCACCAACAAGTCTCCCCAGCTTCTATGTGGCCCTGACCCGTGATGGGCTCATGGAGATGTAGCCTTAGCTCCATTACAAGGGACTGTTGAACTAGATATTTTCTATTCCACTGTTTTCAGATGTCTCAAATGGTTTTGCAGTAAAAAGGAATGTAATCAGAGCTTGCATTTTTAATCTTGATTGCCCTTTGATCTCACTGGAGAAGGGAAAACATCACATATTCATCACCAGACTCAGCTCCAGATTCAGAAGCCAAGAGGAACTGGAGGGGAGAAGGCAGAAGAGGGACATAAACAAAGCTTACTCTTGTGGGCTGCCCAGCCTTGCACAGACCCCTCCTGTGTGCACCGGCCTATGCAAAGAAAGATGCTTTGTTTCCCAGGGTGAGCTGTGCTTTGACAGGCAAGCTGTTGTGGGCAGCAGAGCCCACCTGGAAATATGGTCTGGGCTCTACTTTTACCAGAACACTGCTTATTTTTGTGGAATTCTGGCCCAAATGATGGGCCAGGCAAGTTGTTGTGGTGACATGAGGAACAATGTTATTGCTGTGCGTCTCCCTCTGCCTCCTCCACCAGCCAGTCCTGTTCATCCCAAGAGAATGGCAGGAGAAGAGGCAGTGGCACAGTCCCCACTGAAAAACAGTTCTTTGTCCTTCCCAAGAGTGCCCACAATGACACCAAGAACACTGTCACCAAATGCTAGAGGGAATGAAAGCTGGCGTGGGCTTTCCCTCTCCCTGCAGCAGATGGTGACTATGTCTCCATGGGAAAGGGGGGCACCAGGCCATTCCCAGTGGAAAGAAGGGACAGGAACACCTGCTGAACTCTGTGTCATGCCGCAGTGCTGGCCTTCCGTCCAGCCCTCTTTAGAATGGAGCCACCACTTGCAGCACCTTTGCATCCTCCTCACCTATCATTGTCCATCAGCAGTGCCAGGCGCCCGTAGTCCCAGGCTGCTTTCCGAAGACATGAGAAGACCAGAAGGAGAAGCTGGAAGAATAAGAAAGAGAAGTGTTTGCTGCAAGGTCTCACCCCATGGGATCTTCTCATATCCCTCCTTTCTGCCTTCTCACTCATGAGCCCGAGCTCATGCAAAACTCTTACCCCAAACTGTTCCTGCTCCGTCATCTCACCACTGCTGCCCAAGTGTCCTTTGATGCCCACCATGACATGGGCAAAGCCCTTGGACCCCTGTACTCATCCCTGTTCCCCCATCAGCCAGGTGCACCGCTGCACAGGCTGCACTTGTGTGTGGCTGTCAGTGCATGCAGGAGCTGCAGAGCCCATAGAAAGGCACCCTCCTGGCCCGCTCACCAGCCACAGGATGAAGTTGATGGCGAGCACAGTGGGCACGCCACCGAAGGGCAGCCCCTCCAGGACAGTGCTGCGGGAGCGGGCGCTGAAGCACTGCTCCTCCGTGCTGTTCACCGGGGCGTCCAGGAAGATGAGCACATCCAGCGAGGTGAGGCCAGCACCATCAGGTGCAGGCTCCATCGAGTACGTGCTTTCCATTGGCACCGTTGTGGGGTCTCACCCTGCAACACAGAGGCAGGAGTGTGGATGGAGAAGCCTTTGCTTGAAAAGGGGCCATGGCTCTTCCAGGTCTCTTCCATCAAGGCCTGAGGAGCTCAATAAGGGTAGGGAGGGGATAAGACTGGCTGGTGACCTCAGTCCCAGTTTCTCTCAGGGAGAGGTTTCTGGACACAAGGCAGAAGGTGCTGCTGAAGAAATCTCACAGCTACGTCCTGCTCCCAGCTACCTCCTGCTCCCCACCCCATTAAACCCAATGCTATTTGGTTGTCTCTGTCATACCTGAGACAGATCTCTCACCACCTCTGCCCCTCAGTCCTGGAAGCTGGGTTGAGTCATGGCCACCCTGGTGTTGTCAGCAGGCAGGAATAAGAAGCTGAAGCATTTGTTTGAATTTCTGAAAAAAACAGCATTGATAATATTGACAACTGGGCTCTTGGGCTGCACTTGCTTCTGTCCCCACAGCCAGATATCTACTGCCTATGGAATATCCCTAAGCCTGCTGTCCTCCTCCAGCATCATGATCTGTGTGACTCAGGAGTTAGAGGACATCCCTTTCATCCTTCCACCTAAGCAGAATTGCTCCTTCCAAGATATCTTGATCTCTTCAGAAGAGTTAGCATCTCAAAACCCCTAAATGTCGGGCTTCCCACCACCTTTTGCAGGAGCTGATACCATAGAGTCCTCACTGGCAGGAGACACTTAAAGGCCATTAATAGCTAAGACTGTGGCTTGTTTCCAAAACCTTTCCTACCACCATGCTTTAGGTAGGAGAGGATCCTCTCCAAATCTGCAGTGCCTGGAACCCCGGGGAACGAGCACCCTAGAGCAGCCAGCATGGCTGTTTCTCATGGGGATGCCACAGGACAGTACCAAACGGCTGCTGCCCTCACCATACAAAGATGAGGAGAGGGAGCCAGCACAGCGAACACTAACAAACATAGGGTGGGGACAAGGGGGCCAGAGTCTCTCGTCTTCATGTGTCCTGCCTCTGTGCTTTGGAGTCACTCTCAACACCTTTAGCCAGCTGCTTCTCGTGCCTGAAGAAGAACAGCTATGTCTGTGGTGAGACAATCCAGTCTTTGGAGGCCTTGAGCAGCCAAACATGATTTTGAAGCTGGCCCTGAGCAAGGGCTTTTATCAGATGACCTCAAATGGGGCCCTTCCAACTGCAACTATTCTACATTCTTATTCTCAGGAACTTGTGATCCTGACAAGAACATTTTCAGGCCTGCCTGAAGTTTATAAGGAGCTCTATAAGTGCCTTGCCCTGCAGACATGATAGGCACAGTATATTGAGGTCAGTGTATTGTGACCAGTGCAAAGGCTATGTGAAAACTCAAGAGGGGTTTGTAACATGTACTCCTGGGAGCTTTGCATTCAAGCCACTGAGCATTCATTCCTCTCCTTCCTTTTCATCTACATTCCAGCCATAACTGAGATCCTGCTACAGCCCCTGCAGTCACCCCGCACCAGGTAATCCCTGCTGGAGGATATTCAAAACTCACATGAACAGGGTGGAAAAAGAGAAGCAGGACCCATGGTTTTATTAAGCAATGGAGGAGAATGAAAACAGAGATATATGGGACCTCCAGGGATGTGGAGACACAGTGTTTATGGCAGCTTCTGCCACCAAGACCACATAAGATGAAATCTTCTTCAACACCAAAGGAAACCTAATTGAGAGGTCCTTGGGGAGCACAGAGACAGCACATAGAAAATGACTTGGCTTAGAAAGGCGATATTCCTAAACTCTACACAGATTTGCTTTTGTTAGGAAACATTTACTTGTGCTGTGTCAGTGTGATATATGCAGGACTACAGTAGCACCTGATTTTATATGCATGGCTGTAGCTTCAGCCTCTCTCTCTTAGACCTTGCAGTTTGCTGCTGGAGGAGTCCTGTCCTCAAGTTCACGAGGAGGAGGAGATTAGTCTTGTCCTAAAGTTCCCAAGGAGCCCAGACATGCCCAATCCACAGCTCACCAGAGCAGGCAGGACAAGAGTGCTGGTGCAGGAGCTGGCATATGTTACATGCCTGAGACACTGACTCTCTTTGACCTCCTCATCCAGGGAAAGAAAAAGCTGAGAAGAAGGGAGGTTTTCAAACACAAGAGTTGACAAAAAAAAAGAAGAAAGTCTGACAACCTGGACACTGAGGATTCCCAAGGGATTGTCAACCCAAGCTCTCCAGAGGGTTGAAGAATTTAAGAACTACTCTTGGTGCCTGCAGTTCCCAAATTAAATACACACACAAAAAAGATGGTGACTTGCTATTTTCTTCATTTCTGAAGCATAAATTCCATCCCAAAGAAAAATCTCCACTGGAAGCCTAAGTGTGGCTGGGATGATTGGACCAAGGCTATGAGTCCAGAAGAGCTTGAGTCTCACTCACCCCACTGCAAGATTAGGCTGGCATCTGACTACCTGCATAGATGCCTTGAAAGGATGTCAGAAGCTGCTGAGCTGCAGGCACCAAGCTCCCCAGGACATGCAGACACATGGCAGTCCCTTTTCCTGTGCATATGGTGCAACGTCACCTGAGCCATGGGCTTCAGTGTATGCTACAGACCTGCCCACACTGCATCTTCAGCTCTCCTCTGAGGTCCCTGTCCACATACACATCCATCTGTCCCGACTATGATGCCTGGAGACATCACTGCCCAAGCTAGGACAGCTGAACGCTAGTGTGACTCTCAAAAGAATTGCCAGGTCACTTGAGATATGCCGATACTTCTCCAAAGGGCCTCCCAGCAGACTTGGGGCTGACACTTGCGCCCGTGGATGCGATGGATCCAAGATGGATGATGGCAGGCAAAGCATCCCTGCAGTGCCCTCAGTCACAGCCTGTCTCCCAGCCCTGGTTGGGAGTCCTGTACTTTAAGCGCCAGCATGGCCCCATCAGGATAATGGGACCTCCAGACAAGGGACCTCCAGAAGAGACCTGTAAAATGAGGGGGCTACTCTGGCAAGCAGAAGCTGTTTGCCCAGGCTCGCCTGCCTCCTGCTTGCCACCTGGATCACCAGGACCTCTAGCCAGGGTCTGCTCTTTGCTGTGGAAATGCCCTCAATCTGTTCCTCACCATGTGCATGTCTCTCTCTCTTTCCCCTCCTCCTGTAAGCAGCAGTGCTACTGCCATCTGGCATTTTCAGCTGCTAAATAATTCACTGCCTTTTTGTTAACAAGGAGAGTGTGTCTCTGACCGCGGGAGCTGTTAGACCATCAGCAAACAAACAAGGAGACCCTTAGCAACCTCCAAGTCCCTTCTCCATCACCACCACTCCACCACGCAGCAATAAGATCCTGCAGCTTGTTTCTATGCACCGGCTTCACGCTTGTAGGAGGAACATCCTGTCAGGAATGGCAGGTTGAGGGGGATTTTCACAGGGATCTGTACAAGGTGTGTTTCTCTATAAAGTCCTTATTGCTATTCCTTTCTCCCCCATATCAGATATTTTGCTCCTGGTGGCCTAAAGCAATGGGTTCCTCCTGGAGATAGTGCTCCTCTATACTCCAGCTCTCCTGCCCAGAAACCTCCCAAATGCAAGCCTTCACCCTTCCAGCCTGACCAGCTCATTCTCTCCACACAGTACTGCCAGTACAATGCCAGACTGCACAAAGAAATTTCAGAAGATACTTGAAGAACCAGTCCAGCTCTGTCCCCTCTCTCTTAAGCACCTCCAACTCCAAAGGAGTCCAAAGGAGCCATCATGTCATGCTCACACCTGTAAAAACAGCCTTTGCAGTGTATCACAGCTCCTCTGAGCCTGATCTCAAGCCATTCTCCTGCCCTTTTGCTGCTCCTTTCATCACTAGATAGCCACAGAAACTCTCCTCCAAATACCCAAATCGCTACTTTTCTAGACCATTTGTTCCAGCCAGTCTCACCTTTTATGGCACTGCTCTCAGAAAAACTTATGCAAATTATATAGCTGCAGTGTTACCATTAAAATAACTATCGGGGGCAACCAGCTAAAAGTAAATCATGCTTATGTTCTAGGAACAGCATGCAGCAGAAACAGTGAGAGGAGATTTCTGCTCACATGCATCAAGAACAGCTTAAACTGAGACCTGTAGAACATGTTCAAACTCCCTCTGGACGGAGAGCTGTTTTTGATATACAGAATGAGAAATCACAGGGACACCACAGGTCACACTTAAAGTCATTGTTGAAAAGCCTAAGTTAAATTTTCACATCACAGAAATGAGAAAATTCAGCATTTTGCAATATTGCATTGATGGCACTCTGCAATAGTATCTGAAAGGTTCAGCAAAACACACAGTATCACCAAACCAGTTCCTGTTCTCTGCTATGCCATTGCCATTGTGTTTTTCCCAATCTTTAGAGGCCAAAGGAACAAATACTGTTGTGAACAACAGAGCTGTATGAGTGTCACCTCCTGAAGGTGTCAGGACAGCTTCCCATTAGTTGTGCATGAGGCAGGGCCTTTAGATGCCAACCACAGACAGATATCCTCCAGGGCAGCCACTGTCCTGGAGAAGTGACAGCAATGGATTAGTCCAGAAACACGGGGGTGTACAGGGTTGCAGGTAGAAAAATGAAGCAATAACGTAAAGGCAGAAATTTCAATATATGGTCTACCCACTGTAAGTCTTAGAGGGAAGATACTAAAACAGGGTCAGAAAAAAAGTCAGAAAACATGCAGAGGAAAATTATTTTTCCTCTTTGTGGCCTGTGAATGCACACTGAATGCATGAGATTTGCCATTGAAACTGATTTGCTGGATAATTTCTATGAAGCATTTTCAGTGTGTGTAAGCTTTGCCTTGAATATTCAGTGCCCTCTTTGTTTTGTTGATACATCAGCATATGTTTCTTCTCTCTGGTTGGGTGGGCACTAATCCAGAGAATCAGATTTCCAATTAAAAATAAGGCATGTCTTTTATGCGAATGCAATTTTTCATAATTTGTCTTTCCCTTGAAGCATCCTGCCAGCAAACTCATTTGCTAGGGGATTCACGGACAGCTGGAGTAGCAAAACATCAAAACAGTCTTGGGAGCATTGAGATGACTAAGCTGGGGTTCCCAGTATGCCTACGCTCATCCAGCCTTAGCATCCCACTCTGGCACAGGTGGGATTACTGACTTCAGCTGGCCAGAGGGGAGCCAGGGCATGGGGCTGTTGATGGAGCAGCCTGTGGCCACACAGAAAAGCCAGGCTGAGGACTTAGACCTAGAAAACAAGCATCTATGCTACCTGACTGCCTCTACATCCTTCTTCCATTACAAGTAGATCATGGCCAGGCTGTGGAAGGGAAAATCAAGGATTGCTGTACCAGGGAGATCAGGTTCATGCCCTGGTGTGCACAGGATCAGGCAGGCAGGCAAACCTCCAGCATCCCACCTTGCAGGACTGCAGTGACCGACCTTGCAGGA